CATGTGCTGCCGAACCTGCGCCTTGTAAAGTCCCGATGTTTCGGGAACTTTACACCACCGTGGTCACGGGGGGGGACTGAGGTGTTCCACGCCCCAATGGCATAATTAACCACGGTTACCTTCAATTTAAAAGATCTACCGTACTGCATCGTAACCATACAATCCGTAAAATTTCGTGTCTGTCGTTCGTGTTTCGTCACTCGTACCACAACCACACCACATCGCAACGACAAAATGTGGTCACGTGTGAATAGTGACGCTGTAAATTTTTGCAGTTGCGTTGTGGTTATGCGACAAAATGACGATGTGGTTGCTTTGTCGCTAGTAGTTTCGATGTGGTTACGTCGTATGCAGTTCACAGTTCGACTACGGCATAAAATATGTTTTATAAATGCTTCTCCCTCATGCAACCTCATTGTATACCAACTGTTTACCAACGGCGGTTTTTCCGGACCGATACAACGTAGGGACCTTCAAGAAAAGAGCTTACTACTTTCTAATAGGCCGGCAACACACCTGCAATTCCCCTGGTGTTGCGGTTGTTCATGGGCGGTGGTAGTCACTACAATCAGGTGACCGCATGCTCGTTTGCCTCCTCCTCTATATAAAAAAAAAACTTTTATAAATGCTAAATGCTAAAGGAAAAAAATACTTTAGTTTGATATTTTGTATTTCTTTTTACCTTTAATCACCAATGTACTATGATTGCAAAAAAAAAAGTGGCAACCCTAGTCGTGGCGTCGCGTTGCGTCGACGCAATGTTGTGTTTGCGATGTGGCCGACCGCTAGTTCTCACCGTCGAAGATACTCGTAGTAGTTGCGTCGTGGTGGCGTTGTGGTCGATATCACGCACGCACTCACGCAGTCGATAATGACGGCAAAATGTGGTACGTGTAAATTGTACTATTCATTTCCAATACAAAATGCGCCCGCCCACGTGTTGTGGTTGTGGCTGTAGTTGTGTTACGTGTGGGTAGACCCTAAATGTGTAGTGTTCGCGTAAACATAAGAAACCTCCTGGGTACTTGCTGTTCGAGGTTTACAAAATAGGTCTTTTCTTAATAAACCTGAATTGACAAATGAACTTACAGTCCATCTATATACTTGTAATACTGGTATATTAATGTACTTACACTATATTAATATACCAGTAAGTGGCTACTGCACTCCATGGACACCCGCAGCTAACTGCAAACAAAGGAGGCTACAGATGCGTTGTCACCTCTGAAGACTAATTGCTCCGCTACACTATGCTCCACGCGCTGCTCATCGCTTTATTTCTTGCGATGCCGCGATGCTGCCCTCTCTGCCCACACACTGCCATAGTAAAAACAGAATAGTAGTGTACCTCTGAAGACTAGTTGCTCCGCTAGACTATGCTCCTTGCGCTGCTCATCGCTCCATTCCTCGCGATGCCGCGATGTTGCCCTCTCTGCCCACACACTGCCATAGTAAAAACAGAATAGTAGGATTGCTCCCGCCCTGCGCGAGACTTAAATGCTTACTGTTGCAGGGTTGTTGTGACTGTCTTTTTGTTTAACAGCTTAAGTTTCATTTAGTTTTATAAATAGTTATAATATTTACAAACATAATACATACGAATACGTACCTGTGCATTATATTTGTTAATTATTTCTTTATTTTCCTCTCAAAGAATCAATGTTTGTCAAAAAACATCTCCATATTTATATTACAACAAATGCCAAATAACTAAAATACGAGTAAATTAACACTTAGCATATGGTGTCAGCTCAGATTTAATGTTTATAATTAATTTTATCTGATGTGATATGATAATTAATATATTTAAGAGGTATGTATCTATGTTTAGATATAGTAATGTAGCCTATTAATAAAAAGCTAATTTACTTAAGCAAACGCTAATCCTATACCTTTAAACGAGCAATTCTTGTATATATATATAATCGGAATTTCGGAAACGGCTGCAACGATTTTCATAAAATTTAGTGTCCAGGGAGTTTCTGGGGCATAAATCGATCTAGCTAGGATTTATTTTTAGAAGATGTCTTTTAGTCCGTGTTATAAGGCAATGAAAAACTGCTACAATATAAGAAGGTAAATTTTGACACTTTCTCAATGATCGTAATGGCTCAAGTGGATATCGAGCGGTCGTGAAATCGTAATTCCTTAAAGACGGGACGCGAACCAAGGGTCCCAACTTTTTTTCATTTTTTTTTCAAGTTCCCTTCTTATGTGAGAAAATCTATTATTTCGAGTCCTTTTTTTAGTATTTTAAAAATACGAAAATTTTAATTAAACTAATTGCAGTCATGATTTTTTATTCAAATAACTAGTTCAGTTTTTTCCGTTATGTCAATAAGATCAAAAAATATTATCCATGTAATTTGTACCTAAATGTAATTTAAAAAAAAAACCGAGCAAAGCTCGGTCATCCGGGTACTTTTAGTTTATTTTACAAAGAGAAAATAAAACGAAAATTTTTTATTAAAAGACTCGACTCGGCCAGACCTTTCCGACTTAACAAGTGTCGTTGTGTGCGTGCTGTGACTCGTGTGTACTAATCCGTACTGTCACGTGCCTTACACGCACAAATATTTGCGGCGTTCGGTGAATTTCTTAGAAGATAGTTTACTATTCTGTTTTTACTATGACACTGCCGCACCGCACTAGGGCGCTTGCGTTTCCAACACAATGATTATTGAAATTGTGGCAGCACGCGCGCTATATTCATATTTAATACACTAAATATATCTATTTCATAAAAAGAAATATAAATCGTCGTCCCCGCCAACGGAGATGGTGGATGGCATCTATTCATCGCAATAGAATTCAAGCTTCCGTAACGAGCGTTCGATTTGAACTGCGTTCGCGCGATTATCTGATCGGCCACTCGCGCTCACATTGTCAGTCTTTTGACTTGCGCCCAAAAATGCCGAGGAGCATGACGTGCGGCATACTAGCTTGAACGAATTAATAATTCGTTCAAGCTAGTATTGTAGCCACACTATATCTCTGCTTACTTTCCTCGCCATTTCCCATACCAAACGACGAGTGTGTGGCAGGGGGATAAGATAGAATATCTCATCACAGCAAGTATGCCATATTATACTGGTTCTCTGTTCTCTTCATACCAGAACTAAAAGTGCAGGCCCGGCTTCAAAACCAGGTAGTTAAAAAGGAACCCTAAAAGCCTAAAACTTAGTAAATCGTTTTTATTTTGTACATACTTAAATTACAGTTATGAAAAATAGCAAAAGTGATTGACCCGGGACAGCGATCCCTTGTTCTCGGTCCTGACTCCAGACACATACGGCGCATAGCGCCTTATTGTATGCGGTACACGTGCGGAGTCACTGATGAGCACATTATGTTGCTACATCTTTATTTAATGTTTAATCAGATATAATGAGGAGAGGGGGCGTGTAGTTTAATTCTATAATGCATGAGGTTTTTTTCTACTTGATTGCAGTCTACTATAGACGATTGAGATGATATTCAAGTCAGTTTTTGTAGGGTTTATGTAAATAGAAACATTAATTTTATTGTGGTATATATTATCTGTGTTAGTTTTAATTTATTTGAGTTTTTGTTTGAGTAGGTTAACTAACTGAAATTACAAGGATCCATAAACTTTCGATAATAAAGACTAGTTCTCTATCTAGGGTGGATCCCCAGCCCCTAATACCAGTCATTCCGTCTTTTTACTTCTAAAATAAAGTTCTTTGTAGATTTAACTACATAAATAAGTATTTTCAACTAAAAAATTATTCGTAATTAGAGGAAAGGATATTTCAAATATTAAAACGCAGGCAAATTTCCTTATTTTTTGACAAGTTTTCCATAAAATTTGACTTATTTTACATAATATCATCTTTAGGCTTAGTGACTTACATGAATATTACTATAGATGTAGTATATGTATAATAAATTCATAAACTTTTTATTTTCTTTTAGCGCGAATTAAACGGGCTGTAATTATGTAGATATACTAAATGTATGGAATGCATAATGTCAGCCGTCAGGCTGTTATTTGGTTTTAGGGTACTAAAATTTTAAGACTAATTTCAGCCACGTAATATCTATCAATCTACTTCTACTGCCTCCAAGGCCTTTACCAAAGATCTGGCTGCAAGAGAGAGCCAACCGCATTGACTTATATATTACTAGCGTAAGGACCGGGCCGACCGAACAACTAGGTAAAACGGACCAGGGCGCTGGCCCTAAAATTACAGGGCAAACGCGAATCGGTCGACAGTAGTGCGCGCGCAGGACAGATTTGCTTGTCATAAATATGTCTAGTTGCGTGGTAAAAGAATGCAAAAATTACGATAAAATGACTTAAAAGAAACATGGAATATCGTATCATCGGTAAATAACCTTATATTAATTTTCTTACAATTAAATTATTATATAAACGCATTTTTAAAGTTTTAATTTACAGTTAGTTTAGTTACGTTATCAAGATTAGGCCAGAGTTGGATTCAGACCCTCAAAAATATTGTACAAAGTACAGTACTATAAATCTGGATTGTCATAAACTGAAACAAATATTATGTCTATGTTATAAAATTGGTTTTTGAATAGAAAGTTTAGCAAAAGATTAGTTTTATGATATATTTGTTATATGAGCGCCATATCCAGAATGGGACATCAAACGTTTGGAAATTGTAACTATAGGTTATTTTGAGGTAGGAAGGTTTTTCTGATGTGACAGAAAGTTAGTTTTATGTTTGACATTAATTTTATGAAATCGGTCTCTTTTCGCTTGAATAAAGTTGAGAAATATTAAAAACTTATTTCCAAAGTGGTCTACTCAAACTGTAAGAAATGTATGAAAAAATTTTGATAAAAAGGTTGTGAAAAAATCGCAGTTTATGGATCGATTTGTGAAGCAACTTCGTGAAATTGGATCGTTGTTGGATAAAACAACCCGTGTGCTTACTCGTCCAGTGCGCTCAACCGAAAATATCGCTGCTCATCGCGGTTCACTTTGATAAATAAAGATTATTTTTTTGCAGTGAAGATGTGCGTACGCCCCTCGAGGTGGCGCCAGTGAGTGGTGCGGGGGCTGCGAGCGGGGCGATAAGCGGAGCAGGTGGCGGAGCGGGTGGTGGAGCTGGTGGCGGGGCAACCGGCGGGGCGGGGGGCGTTTCCGAGCGGACGCCCTGTGCCTGTGCCGCTGGGCCCCCGCCACGCCGCCAGCCCGCCCCACATGAAATATTGCGCCCCAAACCCAGAAGGTGACATTTCCAATTTTTTTTACGTGAATTCGTCTTTTCACCATCGAAGGCGAAGATCCAACTTGGACTTTTTCACTTTATGATTTTTGTCGGTCATGACGTCACAAATAGACCGTGGCGGTTGTCGAAAGTAAGAGGGATGATTATCGGCAAACATGCGCTCGGTTTATAGATACGGGATAATTTTAACATAATTCGAGCAATAATTTGTGTACTTTAGGTATTAGGTTAGTTTTTGACATGAATACGTCTTTAAATTTGCTTATATATTGGGAGTCAGTTCAGAAAATGATGGTAACAATTTCGGGCGATACAGTTTGGTGTTGCAGTTACATATCTATCATCTAAACTCCACGACTTTTTTTTATTAAAACTTTATTCCCCACACAAGGATTTCCTCCTGTATAGTTGACGCAGATTACAAATATGAATTGCACAATAACAATTACTTGTAGGCCATACAGATACTCGTTCCGTACGAGATTCGAACCTGCGGCCTTTAGCGGTCATTGCTAAGCCCGGAGCCGTATTGTGTGAATGCGCGAGTATCAATCATCCATAAGAACGCAACCCTCCTATAAAGCTGGAGTATTCATTCATCATTCGTCATTACAGCCTGTAAAAATTCTACTACTGAACATAGGCCTCCTCCTCCAATTGACTCATATTTGGATTTTACCATATCTGTCATAATTAATTCTTATATTTGCTGAAACTCCTCTAATTTCTAGAGGATTTTGGGGAGAGGTCATCGCGTTAAGACAAATCGTGTTTGAAGAGGAACCTTATTTTAAAAAGCCAGTAGATTATAAAACACCTTTGACAAACGAAATTTTATTTTCTTACGGTCGGAAAACAAAGAGAGTTTTCATTTCGTTTCATTTCAATACTTTACTTATCCACGTAATACTTAGTTCTTTAAATTATTTGACAAGTTTCCTTGCGATGTATTCATCAAAGAACGAAGTGCTAAAGCAGTTTGAATTGCACTTACCCATTTCAGGTGTGCTATATTATAAATGAAAATGTTTATGGTTCACAGTATCCACCAGGTGGACAGTGTGTTCGTTTTTCATCCTAAAAAAGTATTTTTTTATAGGATAGGGTGACAAACGAGCATACATTCCACCTGGTGGTAAGTGGATGCTGTGGCCCATGGACATCTACATCTACCCTCAGTTAAGAATTAAAATGCAGATGTGTTGTCACCCGTGAGGACTTAGATGGAATGCCTCGTTTCCAGCAAGAAGGGTCTCTGGTTCTCTACACTCACCATACGAAACACAACAGCGTTGAGCTGCTATTTTACGCTGGTATTCTGTGAGAGCGTGGTTCTTCCCCCGGTCGAGCCGACCCATTCGTGCTACAACTATACTACTAATGTAGCTGCAACATGGCTCTACTACGTAAAAAAGACATTTTCTCTTTAGTAAGCTATATTTTTATAACACTTGTCTTGGTAAAAAAATTTTCTTAATTTCGAAGTAGCACTTCAATATACTTTATTATTAAATCGGCCATTTTATCACCACTCGTAAATGTCGTCATTATTGTATTCTTGATACGAGAAATCGCAAATCGTAAATTTAAAATTATTTGAACTTTAGTCATTTACGACCGGTAAACGGCTAATTTTAATTTGTCACACGAATGGGTGAAGTTAGTGTGACCATGTTTTTGACATTTCAATTTAGTTTTTAAATTCTTCTTTCTTTCATTTTTTCAAATCTTTCAAAATGAACATAGCGGACCGTGTAGTGGCGATAAACGATACCCACGTGAAGGTTAGTGGATATTCTAAAGAATATCCACTACCCTTCACGTGGGTATCGTTAGAGGCGATGGAGGAAAACCTGGTGACGGACAATAACTATTAAAAATACAAAACTGCAGCTGCCAACCTGCTCGCTAGGCGTGGTAGTTATGGCAAATGTACTTCTATGAGACAATCTATGGCGGTGGCCTGTGCACAGCAGTGAACTTTAATAGGCTGTAACGGTAGGTAAATATACATTATTTTTACTAGGAACCTGAATGACTGTGTTTCGACAACTTTATAGCACCCATTGTAACGGTGGGGACTTCCCTATGTCATAGTTAACCACGGCTACCTTCAGATTAAAATTATTAATTTTAGTTCGATCTACTTTTATTGAGATTTTAAATGATCTTCTAACTGCATCTAATCTTTTTCTTTTTTCAATATATTAATAACAAATTAATTTTGTTCACTAGCACAATATAAACACGCAACGCATGCGAAGTGGCGCTATTATATACCTATTCCTTTAAATTGTACTATGGCTGTTATTTATTTTTTTAGTTTTATATCACCCTCATAGACAGAAGTAATGAAACTACTGTATTTATTAGAGTGTACCATTACGCTATAAAAATAAGTTTTAGGAGGAAGTTTGCATACACCATTGTTCAGAAATAAGATTTAAGTGATACTATAATAACTGAAAAGAGCTGTAATAAGCAAGCAACTGGATGCAAAACACAGCTTCTATCTACGCAGAATGCGCTTAATAAGTATCCTGAAGTTTTTTTTATAGAAGAGGGGGCAAACGAGCATGCGGCTCACCTGATGTTAAGTGACTACCGCCGCCCATGATCAACCAAGACACCAGGGGAATTGCAGGTGCGTTGCCGGCCCTTTAGAAAGGAGTAAGCTCTTTTCTTGAAGGTTCCCAGGTCGTATCGGTCCGGAAAAATCGTCGGTGGTAAACTATTCCACAGAGAGGTTGTACGCGGAAGAAAACTCCTTTTGAAACGTACAGTGGTGGACCGCCAAGCATCCAGATGGTGTGGATGGTATCGGGACGTTTGCCGCGTAGGGAGGGATTAATCCGAACAATTCCTCAGAGCACTCTCCATGGTATATGCGAAAGAAAATGCAAAGAGATGCAACATCTCTTCGCAGCACCAGTGAATCGAGACGATCGGAAAGCACTCGGTCGTCGACGAATCGAGCCGCTCTGCGCTGGATGCGGTCAAGTGGAAGGAGCTGGTACTGGGGAGCCTCAGCCCAGAGATGAAAACAGTATTCCATGTGCGGCCGAACCTGCGCCTTGTAAAGTTGCAGGCGGTGTGCCGGCATGAAATACTGTCCCGCTCTGCTGAGCACGCCAAGCTTTTTAGAGGCCAATTTGGCCTTCTCTTCCAAGTGACCACGAAACTGCATGTCACTCGATATGTCGACGCCGAGGGTTCCGATACTGGCTGAGGCAACAAGGGGAGTGCCTTGAAACTGAGGAGATACGACAAAGGGGTTCTTTTAGCGGTTAACGCGCAAACTTGTGTCTTCTGGGGGTTAAACTGGACTAGATTTAGTCGCCCCCAATCCAAGACTCTGTTCAGCAAAGACTCGACTTCAGACAAAAGTTTGTCTCGGAAGTTTTGCAGTTGTATGCTTGGGTTGAGATTTAATTTGATTAATGTTTGGGGTTCTATCACAATCAGATGGTAGTATCACAATCACACCCAACCATATTACATAACATAAACACAAACACTCACGCCTGTCACCCAGAGGGGTAGGCAGAGACTACGGGCTTCCAATCGGCACGATCCTGACATATCTACTCTCTCGGCTCCTTTACATCCATATATCTACGCGTACACGCTCGTCGGTTAAGGGTACTACTAATGTGGCCCATTTTAAAAATATCGGCAATTTGGTCGATAAACTTTCGTCTAGGGCGTCTTCATTCATTCATTCATACTTTCTGCATGACCAAACCATCTTCTCTATTGAAATTGGGATGTTTTTTGATTTCAATAGCCTATTGAATCATCGTTCAAGAAATCGATGTTGTTTCGCGAAGTTTTGTGGTCTACTAAATGTAATGTATTGACGGGGGCAATCCTGTACGTGTTCACAGACTGCAAACTTCCTGAAATATCGATTTTCACATCATCTATGTGTTATTTTACAAGGAAACTAGTTTTATTAAATGTGCAGTGTTTGCGTAAACATAAGAAATAATTTTATTGAAGTTGTAATATATAAATTTACAATAACATGTGTCAACCGCAAGACATTTGATCGTTATGTTTAATTGTTATTACTGTTGTGTTGCAGGAACGTTCTGCTATATCATACAGGTTGTGGTCGGTGAATTGACCACAATCAATATGATTTGAGAGGACGACATCAGCGTTCCAATTTGTTCATTCTCCAAGCGTGTCAGGGTTAAGTGTGTGGAATGGAATATGAATTAAAATCAAAGTGTTATACGCAGATTATCTCTCGTATTTTTGTCTATGGTTACAATGATATTTGACGAGAGAATTTAGCAGTTTAGAAGATTTTAGCAGTCTGTCTGCATAATTGGTCTAGTCGTAACAGTAATTGCTGATCAAGTTGGGCAGGAAAACCAGTCATGGGACTATTCTGTTAAGAAATTTTCAGTAGCAGCCCGGAAATACGAAGTTGGTGAAGTTTCACCCCCGTTGCCTTGAAAAACACTTATAGCCGTTGGTCCTGCGCCTAATCTCTCTCCGGTCGTGTCAGGTGGCCGTCCCATCGGAGTGAGGGAATAGACAGTGCACCTGTACTTACGAATACACTGGCACTGTAATTCTCTCCTGTGAAATTGGTTGCCGAAGTTTAGCCTGGAGGACATTATTATGACTTCCCAACGAGTAGCTCTTAAAATCAACATGGATGAAACAAAAATGTTGTCTAACGTCCATGTTTAACCTATACCTGTAGTTGTTGGGAACACTAGGCTCGAGATACTGACGAGAATTGTATCTAGACAAAATATCCAATTAGGTAAGTCCAACTTCGACCAAGATGTTAACCCACGAATCAAAGTCGGCTTGGCTGCGACCGGGAAACCATGACAAAACTTCTAGTCGATATTCTTTAGAATCTTCAAACGATGTTGTACAATCAGTGAAAGTTACAAGTGATGACTTACGGAAGCAAAACGTGGTCCTTCACTGCCAGCCGTATGAGGAAGCTCAACGTCACTCGGCGCATGATGGAAAGAG